TAGTCGAATCTAAAGATGGTTTGGTAATTTCTTAACAAAAATATACTATAGATATTCTTGAAGGAACATGTTTATGAAGGCCAAACTAACTAATACTTATATGGATCCAAATGTCAAACTTCTACTTAATAAAGGGAAACCTCTATCTGACTGAGGGAGATGTAAGAAATTGGTTGGAACGTTGAACTAGCTCATAATCACTCATCCAGACATTTCCTTTGCAGTTAGTATGGTAAGTCGGTTCTTAAATTCTCCTTGCCAAGAGCAAATGGATGATGTTATCTGGATTTTGAGATACATTAAAGTACTATAAGAAAAGGTCTCGTTTATGAAGATAGATCGTGGATTTATATGTTATAGAGGTATAAATGTTAGTTGGTTTTAAGGATGTTAGTTGATGACGATTTTCAAGAAGACAATACCTCCCCAAGTAAATTGACTTTTAGGTGTTGATTGTAACACCCAAATTTTTTATTTATTGAAATTATTTGATTTATTATGGTTTTTATGTATTTATTTAATTATCGAGTAATATTAATTAAATAAATAGGGGTGGTGAGGGTGTGTGACCTTGAGGTGAGAGTGTGGAGAGTAATTAGAGACTAATAGAGTTTGATCAAATTATTAGAGTTTATTTTTAAAATTAAAATAATGGTATTTCATTAGATTTATTTAATTTAATACAAAATAGAGAGTTTTGGGGAAAAGTGTAAATTATGAGAAAATAGAATAATAGAAAGGAGTATTAGTAGTATTTTTATTAAATAAAATTAGAGATGAGAAATGTATTTTGGTGAATAGGGAGATAAGTGAGGGTAATGTTGGAAGTCACTAATAAAGAGTGATTAAGTTACTAATAAAAAGGTTAGTAAAAAGTTGTGAGAGTTTTCTACGTAAAAATAAAGTTTGATGAAAAGAGGAAGAAGTAAGGAATAAGGTACAGGAAGAGCATCCATTGAAAGAGTTTTGAAGAGTTTTTCCAGAAAATATAAGATAAGGGGGAAGAACTATCTCAATAATGGATATATATATGCATGAGGGGTAGAATCGAGGGTTCCTTAACCTCCAATAAGACTTTCTCTCTTTGTTGATTTGTGTTGTATAATAAACAATTGATTGAATTTCTGTTTTTATACTATGATTTACTTGCAAATTCATGCACTGTTTTTCTATGAAAAATTATCTCTTCTTGTTGATGAAATTGATATTAAGGTGTGTTCATGTGTTATTGTAAATTTGATGAATAAAACATGTTAAATTCCATGATCGATAGGTGATTATTTGATGTTGGGTATGTATAATTGGTGTTGGTTGTTGTATAATTGTTATATAATTATTGTGTATCAAATTCTGAGCGTTTGACTTTTTTCAGAATCAAAATCGGAGGTCCGAAAGGCCTCCAATGGTGACGGGTGTCACCCTTGTGACGGGATACCCATCATTGCGTCAATCTTTGTGACAGACGTCAGTTTTATGACGGTCCACTCGTCACGACCAGGCAGACTTTATTCAAAATATGATTTTGGTTATAACATGAGTTTCGGGACTCAGATTGAGGCGCAATTAGAAGAGTTCAAAAGCTAACGCATAGAGCTACATCATGGTAGTGTCATGTGAGATGAATTTTCATGTTTAAATGATGTGTTAGTATATTTTGTTAAATATGTGTATAATTGTGTGACCTATTGTACATGCTTGATGATGAGTCAATGTTGAAATGATTTACCATGATTGAGTGCTGAAATTTTAGATGTTATTGATGATTATATAACATTTATGAAAAATTTTAGGCCATTTTTGCATGCATGGTGTAAGAAATAGGAGTTCTACAAAGAACTCCATTAAATAAGACGAATTATGCAATTCTCAAGGCGCTGACGGGCGTCACCACTGTGGCGGGTAACCCATCATGCTGCCTAGGCTTGCCTTTCGAGCCGATCATGAGCTGAATGATGGTATGGATGCTTGGGGTTGGTGACGGGCGTCACTACTGTGATGAGTAACCTATCACAAGTCTGCAATGAGTGCATATTTGCTTGTTTTGATTATGTTAAGTGCAGATTTTGAATCTTCGACTTTTCTAGATATTTTGAGCACTTTTAGGCTCTATTAACTACTGTTTAGAATGATGTTTGGTATGATTTATGATTAAATATAATTATAATCGAATTTTTGGTTATTTGATAAATGCTTGATAATGTGCAAGCCTGATGATGATCTTGTGTTAATTGATGTGAGTTGTGATGATGATGTGCTATTGTATGGGCATGAATTATGCTATTGAATTGTGATTATGTTGTTGTGGGATGATAGTTCGGGAGGGGAAATATTAACATTGGATTAATGCATTTTTTTATTTTCGAGAGGGGACTTTAAACATTATGTTATTGTTGCATTGACATGTTGTGACATGCATTCATTATGTTGTTGATGATGAAAGAGGTCAGTTACAATTCGAGCATGGGTATATTGGTGACTTGACTCGAATCCGAACAAGGTGGATTCGAATTTCGATCAGGGTGAACTCGGTTCCTGAGTGAACCAATTGATGATGATATGGTATCTCATACATATGAGTTTAGTTGAAGTTGTGAGTCTCATTGCATAATTTAATTGATGAGTATGTGATTGTTTTGTGTATGATGATGGATTGGGTGTGAGAATGATGTTGCATGATTGTTGTTGAATGTGTAGATGTTTGAATTCTACCTTACAACTTATGTTGTTAACTTATTGATGTGAATTCTCACCCCTTTTGCTTTGATGTTGTTTACTATGGATATCTTGTAAATAATCAGGATTAAAAGTTGTTGATGTGAGTGAAAGATAGCTTTTGAAATTAATTCCATTTATTTTTTTGTTTATTTAGTGGCTATGCTCTGACCATGTAACATCGGGGTTGAGATGCTTGTTTTAATTGTTGAATTTGAATTAATATTTTTTTAGGAGTTTTATGACGTTATTTTGAAGTTGAGAACAAACATCATTTTGTCGAGTATTTTAAATTTGATTCTCCATTGCTATTTGAATAAAGTTGAGATGTTTTGAAGATGATAGAACTTTAATCAGTGTATAATGCTTGTTATATAACTTTCGGAGTTAGGGTGTTACAATGATAGTTCTCTTGAAGAGTTCTTCGTAGCAACTATCAAAAGAGGAGTTGATATCAATTGTCTAGTAATCTCTTGATGACAGCATATGATCAAGAAGATATCTTAGTCTCATCAGTCAAATGATTCAAATTTCTCGTTGATGTTCTAATCAATGTAGAATCAAGCAGAGGAACTTGAAGTCTAAAAGTGAGAAAGTTTGAAAGTTCGGTTGATTTTGTGCTTAGCGTCTAAGTTCTATATGCTTTAAATATAAGATAATAAGGGTAAGTATTAAATTACTAAGGTGATCACAGACACACACAAAATCTTTTCAAACCCTCTCTGATTTTATTAAAACTTTTAAAATCTATCCAGATATATATGTAATCAATTAAGAAGTGTTTCAAATCAAATAAGAAAGCTAATTCATGGCCTAATCATTAAGGATTTGGTCCAATCGATTAAAGCAACGAGAAACGTCTTCTAATCGATTAGAAAAGTGAATAATTTGAATAAACCATATATCAGATATAGGATTTATTTATTTATTGAATTAGAGTTGCAGCTTTTTGAAGTGTTTTAATCAATTAAAAGATAATTTAATTAATTAAATCGTTCATTTGACCCACGAATGATTTTCTTGTTGAGAAAAAAAATTTTATATAAATGAGATTTCTCCTATTTCATTTTTATGTACGAAAAACTCTACTATTTTTTTATAAAATTCTTTTTTTTATTAAAATTGTCATAATATTGAAAGACTAAAAAACCATTTGAGAGTTGTATTGTAATTCGTTTGTAATTTTTAATCTTGTATGTGTAAGTCTTTATATAATAGAACTTGCATAGTATCCCATCATGGTGTGGCAAGTTGTTCACGGCAACCTAATATGATAGGAAGAGTTTATGTCTTGTGTTTTATTATATGATGCCGCTAGGGCTGGAAATGAGTCGAGTCGAGTCGAACTCACCTCAGCTCGGCTCGACTCGTTAAGAATTGTTCGAATTCGAGTTCGAGTTCGAGTTCGACACGAACTTTTTTTTAAGCTCAAACTCGACTCGTTATAAGTTCACGAACAGTTCGATTCGACTCGTTAGGTTCATCTCATTAGGTTCAGCTCACATGGTTCACGAACTTAAAAACTATTTTTTAAAATATATATATTTTTTAGTATATTTGACATTTTAAATAAATATATATTTTTTAAATAAAATATTAAAATAAAATAAAAGTTATCATATTGATATTTAACTTTATCTTCGAAATCTACTAATTCAAAACCTACACAACTTTCAAGAGATACATTTGAGAGTCTAACTCAAAAACTACTAAATTGAAGATTAAATTTGTCTAAGATTTGAAGTAAATATTTAAACCTAATCTTAAAGACAGTATAATTCTTTTCATATGTAATCGAGTTGACTCATGAACCTAACGAGTCGAACTATGTATAGTTCAAGTTCAGCTCATTTAGTTAACGAACTTAATTTTTCGCTCATACTCAACTCATTTGGTTCATGAACCTAGTTCAACGATTTAATTGTCGAGTCGAATTCCGAACTATCTTCGAGTTGGTTTGGTTCATTGTCAGCCCTAGATGCCGCTTTAGATTCATATCTACTAAACTCTAGCATTGAGTTTATATCTACTAAAAGTCGAATAAAATCGCTAATAGAAAAATTTGACGGATATAATGATTTCCTTATATAAACAAAAAATTATAAAATAAGATCATTCTCTTTTCTTGAGAGATGGGTATAATAGTAGTATAAATCATCCTCAAATAGTCAGATATAAAGTTAGACGTACATATTTGAACGAGAATATTAATATTCTTTTGAAAAAATAATAATGAATAAAGAACAATTTTTATCTTCAATGCATTCATGCAACATTATTCACACACTTTATGCAAAGCTTGCACTATCCTGCACCGATTGATTCCGGCGAAGCCTATTTTTCTTCTTGTCGCCGCCGCAGACAATCGAGCATTCAACACCACAAATAACACTAAAGCAAGAGAATAAACCATTTCCACCACCACCACCACCGTCACCATCCGTATTCCTACGTGAATGCTTCCCTTTCTTCCTGCTAGATGATAGCCTGCTTGACATCTCTCCACCATCATACACCGGTGCCAATTCGGTTCGCCACCTATCAATTTTAGGTTTCAGTTCTTCGACACTCTCGTCCAAGCTCCATCCTCCTATTGTAGAGTTCTCTCCTTCGTCCATCACAGGCTGTCTAGCCACTATCGCCGCAACTTCTGATGCCGACGGACCTAATTCAGAGTCGGTTATCATAAGACGGTGGTGCCCTTTGTTTGTTCTGTATGGAGTACCGTACTCCATTGCATTCGCGGCTGCATTATGTACGGCGAATGCATGTAGTGGCGTGGCGCGTACGCCACCTTTGTTGTAACTCCTCCCCGGAGTGTTCTGAAATTGCGGCTTCGGCGAGGGTTTAACTTCGTAGTCATAACTAACTTTAGCTGGTTCATTGAATTCTTTTGGATAAATTCTTGGTGTTTTGCCGGGTTTACTCTTTTTTGAGGTTTTCTTAGGCATCACGTCTGAGCCGCTCAATGTAGACATAGCTTTTTTCTTGCTGATTGAGCTAACTTCTGAAGCCGTACCTTGGGAACTTGATTTTCCCCTTTTAGCCTTGAGTCGTTTCTCATGCTCCATTACTTCTGAGGCGATCATCGAGCTCGTGTCACTCTTCGAGCGTCGAATCTCTGGCATGGCTTCATGGTTTTGCTGATTGTGATGATCATTATGATATCCAATGGACGGGGTGTTATTGTGTGTGTAAAGAGGCATGCTTCGCATAGAGCTATCGAGAACTGCCACGCCAACGTTCAGAATACCTTTCGAGCGGCCGGAGGGTCGTCGGACCTGAAGCCCGACGAACCTAATGCCAGGAGGTTTATAGTTATTGCTATGAGAAGGTCGTGATGGTGGGACAATGTCATCAGAGAGGACAACGGCTGTACCAACATGGATGTCTTTGAACCAATGAATGGCGTAGATGTCAATTGTTATCGTTGAGTTTTCGTCATATAAAAAGTCTTCGTCAACCCGAAAGACAAACTTATCATTCCACGCCGGGTTGGTACCACCTTGCGAATCAACCCGGGTGGAAAGCTTGCGGTCAGGATCCATCCATGCAACCGCGTAAGTTCGCATGGAGCGACAGACCTCGGCTAAATCTTGTGCGGATATGACATTGAGTTCTAGGAGTTGGTAACATGCCAAAATATTTGACATGATACCGACTAAAGATTATGATGCAATTGCAAGAAGAAGGAATAGATATTGAAGGAATTTAATTGTGCTGGTGTTTTATCATAGGTTTTGTTGAGTGCGTTACAGGAAGGTAAAGGAAAAGATGTAAATAAGGCATTTGTTACACCGAAGACAGCAAATCAAAAGAGCATTGAGTATATTTCAACCTTTAATTTTGTTTCCTTATTTTAGATGATTTGGGAAATTCTCTCTCTTTATGATAGCCTGTTTCACAATCTTGTTACTTCCAACACTTAAACCTCTGTAATTGCAATGTACAGCTATAGATTAGTAACTAATTATAGTTCCATCATTAGCTTGCAGAGACAGGTTAAAGTGCATTTAACCTCACTAACAACAGCTGTGATAGTTTAAGACATTTATAGTCTTTTTCTTTTTTTTGACAAAATAACCATGTATTGTTATAAAACAAACATTAATAATAACATATTCATAATCAAATATTTTTAATATTTAAATTTTAAAAAAAAAACTCTAAAAATAAAATAAAATAACAAAACGTATAAATAGCTTACTAGTTTGGAGCATGAATTGTGCATAATCTACAAAATTTATAAAATATAATTATTTATGCACTCTACGTGTATATCTCAACTAAAACAAATTACCCTATCATTTACTTTCATTTAAAATTTTAAAATTAGTGTGAAATATAACATTAGAACACCTAAATTTATAGAAGACAAAGTTTAATTTGAATCACTCATTAACTGATATATTGATTGCGGAGATATAAATGCTCCCTATTATCTTGTTCTAGAGATGCATTTCCAAAACTTATCATAAATCAGTATCATAGCAAAACCATATAACATAACCTTTTTTTTTTCAATTACAAATACAAAAATGTTGTTATCTCAACTAAAACAAATTACCCTATCATTTACTTTCATTTAAAATTTTAAAATTAGTGTGAAATATAACATTAGAACACCTAAATTTATAGAAGACAAAGTTTAATTTGAATCACTCATTAACTGATATATTGATTGCGGAGATATAAATGCTCCCTATTATCTTGTTCTAGAGATGCATTTCCAAAACTTATCATAAATCAGTATCATAGCAAAACCATATAACATAACCTTTTTTTTTTCAATTACAAATACAAAAATGTTGTAATGGGGAATATTAAAACAACATAAAGACAAAATATGAAGAAAAAGTTAATATATAACACTTCATTTATATTGAGACACAATTACATACAATTATTTATCCAGTTAAAGAAGAAATCAAAATGAATCGAAACATAGGTCGCTAGCTAAATCTATAGGTGGTACCAACTTGAAATTTTGTGCATTCGATTCTTTTTCAATGTTGCTCAATCTCTCAAATGTTTGCATCCTTTCCATAAAATGATTTGACCACATCTCTACTTTTACGGTTGAATGAGTCGTCCACTCCGGTGATGTAAGTGGTATGAGACATCCCAGTTTCAAGTAAACTTGAACAAAAAGACTTGATTTTAAAAGTCATTAATACACATGATACGATCATTTGAATTTTGTGGTGGGGCAGTGCGCAGTGGGAAAAAGGTTTTCGAGAAACTGTTGTGTGTTAGATAAATACACACTCTATCATATGCACATGCTATTAGGTGACCCATATTAGGGAAGCTCATCTATTTTGCCTCTGATGCCGGACCGTTTAAGCAAGGAATAAGAGACTCATAATTCGCATTGAATTTTTCTTTATTTCTGTACAACCGCGTGTACGATTCTTTGTGCGTCTTCAACTCTTGGATAAGTTATTGTCGGACAAATGCATAACTATCTTCTCCTTTACTGAGTAAAGTCGAAACAAATCGTTAACCGCAATTACCATCCCCCACAACATTGATGATTCGCTCGATATATTTGTGCATAAAAACCGGCATCTTGTCAATGAACGAAATCCTCTGTGGAAGCAACATCGGAGGTGGTTTGCTAATACGGGCTCCTTTCACAACACTTTTTTGAGATTATGGAGTCGATGAGTTGGGAAAAATTGTGTCAATGTGTTAAAAATATGAAGGAGACCGTGTAGTTTAGTTGTCATTCGGTGTAGGCTACATTTTCTTCGGAGCACCTTTTGTTTTTACTGGTTGAGAAGGCAGTTTCATGTCGGTAATTTCGGGATAAACAATCTTCCTCAATTGTTCTTTGATGTGGAGTTTCATGTTGTCATCGGCCTTTGAAAATCTCTCTTGCATCACTTCTCATTCGGTCAAAATAGATATATTTGATTTTCTGTCATCCATGCATCCATCATCATCGAACCTAAGTTTCTTCCAATGAGAGTAAACTTCGTCCATTCTTATTGGTTCACCAAGTTTCACTTTTTTAGTAATAGTACAAGCACATGGAAGACCATATGTTTTCACAATAGTGCATCCACACTTTGCACTATCGGAGTCTACATTATCAACTCGTTTAGCCTTGTGAAAAATATAGTTCAAACCCGCCCGAGAAATGTTATTGACCAACTGAGAATATAAAGTGTTATCTTTAAATCTTTGTTCTAAAACCTGATACTCATACCAAATGTTGTTTGTATCTCACTATGTTGGTTTTGAATCATGTGGTTCATAGAGTCTCTGTCTCTACACAAATCCCCTTTACTATTTCCCAACCAATTTTTCAAAGTATCATGGACCGACTCAACTTTGTTGTCCTTTTTTCACAATCAAGAAATGCAAAACAATAGAATATGTATTCTCAGTTGAGGTAACACCAATCATCTCAAATAATGGAAGTATATACTTGTTAGTCTTGTAGATTGAATTAAGTATCAGCACCGTAGAAAACGTGTTGAACAAATTTATGGAATTAGGATGAGTCTAAAAAATATCTCTAACTGTAAATCCATCATCGCAGATTCGGTACCTGGATACGTAATTGTTATCATCCAACAGTTTCAAGAGTTGTTGCATTCTAGTTCTATCTCTCTAAGTGCCTTGTTAGTGAGATATCGAATATTAAACACTTGCTTGATATTTGATATATTTTCGGGTCGTTTCTGTTTCTATGTTGCAAGTATGTTTTTCGATTGAACAAGATTCAAGATCATGTCACTAATACATTCCTTCTCTTCCATCTTGAGTCGACAGAAACTAGAATGGATGGCTAATTTTAAACATAAATCATGGTTATGCAAACCACATATCACATTAAATCTCCAATTTTGTATGCTAGCATGTAACTACGAACCCTAAACGGACACTCACATTTTCTACTATGTGTGTCATCTCTTTTAAAATTTCGGAGAGGAGTTTGATATTTCTCGCTTCTTTCGCACACCATTGTCACAAATGCGAGTCTTCTATCCAAATCATTATCGAACCTTTCGATAACCACACCAAGACCAAGTTTAGGGGCCTCCATATGAATCCGTTCACGTATTTTATCACGAGATCCAAAATCTTGCTTGTTTTTAAAGACATTGCAAACATCTACCGCATTCACAACAACCCCTTGAACATTTGAAGAAACAACTTGTTTTGAAAAATATCGGAGTGCATCATATCTATTGAAAACAATTAAAACAATAACATAACATTAGTTCAATTATTGTTGCAAAGTGACTGAAAAAACTAACACAGGCAACTTTCAGAAATGCATTTTCGGACAAGTTCATATTCGTTCTGGAGATACATTTTCGGAAACAACGCAAGTTTTTTTAGAAAAAATTGATGATTAATGTGAGCAACGCAGAGAAAAAAGAACAATATTTACCTGGAATTCTATCTTCTTTTACTCCCTATGATATATTAAACCAAAAGGATGGAGATTTGAAGTGAAAAAATAGATTGAGAATGAAGGATTTTTAGGGTGAAGGGTTTGGTTGAGAATGAAGTATGACAACAATGGATGAGTGATCATGCAACTGGTTGTTATATCAAATATTTTCAGAGGTACACCTCTGAAAATACCTTACATGCAAAGGTGACAGAAAATTTCAAAATGTTGTCAATAATTTTAAAGATGCATTTCTAGAATATCTACTAAACTGAACAATTAAAATATTTTGCTTAAAACGTTCCGAAGATATATATATGAAATATCTATTGAACTAAACAATTGAAATGTTTTCCTTAAAATGTTTCAGAAATATATCTCTAGAGTAAAACTAACCCAATGTATGAAGCGTAATTCATAGTGGTCTTGATTGAGTTACAAAAAATGCGTCCAGAGATATATCTCCGATAATAAGGGACACATGTAAAAATTTACACGGTACATTAGAAACATCTAGAATAGAAAAGGAAAATCTCTTAATTTATAGCCCAATGCGGTCTGAATCAAACTTTTTTAAGTCTCTGTTTTAGAGAATTTCTTAATGGACCTTATATGTTTTATAGGCACCATGCAAAATTTTAAAAATGTTTTTAATTTTTAAAGATATATCTCCAAATAGTTTCTTACACACATTTTCATTCGTTTTTAGTCAAATCTCAATTGTATAAATTTATTTCGAAAATACATTTTTGAAAATCTGCATTAGTAACTATAAATCTACAAAATCTATAAAAAAAATCTGCATTGATATATTGAAATTTTGAAAGAAAGAAGTTACAAAAGGGCACTAAGGTGAAAGTATTGATATATTGAAATTTTGAAAGAAAGAAGTTACATCAGGGCACTAAGGTGAAAGTATGTACAATATAATATCTAGGAGTATCAAAAACACACACATAAGCCTCCCTTTCAAATTGTCAATGTAGTCAAATGGAAATAATTGCAAATACATACATAATACATATATGAAACAAGCACTTTCAAATGAACTAATGCATATGTAAATTTTCAAAATAAATTTATTCAAACAATTGAAAACTAACTCAAAAACAAATGAAAAAAGTATGTAAAAAATACATCTGAATATATATATCTAAAAATTAGATACATTTTTAAAATTTGGCGTGGTGACTAAGAAATATAAGTCCATTAAGAAATTCTCCTTTTTTTAATTCTTAATCCAAATCAAGCTCTAAAGCATATAAAAATGGATTTCAAATTTCAATTGGGAGTAAACAAATGTCATGTTTTAAATAAACACATTACCAGCTAAACAAAAAATTCCGGGAGGAATAAATAGAATACCCTTGAACAAAATTGACCAGAAACGAAGACATCTAATTCCCTCAACATCTTAAATTAAGACTAAAAAATACCAATATTTGGTGTAATCTATTGAAGTTGACTACTAGGAGCTGAAATATCTGGACTCAAAATTGGACTCTTGATAATATTATTTAATTAGTTACTGAGGAATCTGCCAGATTCTGTCCATTTCTTGGCACATGGTGACCTGAATATCCTCTCTCTTGGCGTGGGTTCGGTCTGTAGAAACCATTTCCCCTTGGTTTGTTGTACTCGCGATCACCACCATCCTGACCATTTCCCCTGCCATAGTTTCTTGAATTGAAACGCCCTCTTGGTGCCTCTGAATGATAGCTACCCCTGCCTCTACCTCGTCCTGTTAATACAGAAAAGAATAAGTACAGTGAAACAGATCAGGAAAAATGGGAAACGCCTTGAATTATATAGAGAAGAAAACATGGACACTAAGAAAACAAGTGCATGTCTGCATAGTCAATGTCAACATCATCATTGATACTAAATATATAGTACGTCAAATCCGGTTATAACAACATTTTGAATTACAATTATTAAATGAACCATGAGGCTAGTCAAATCAGATCATAACATTTATTCATATGTTGCATTGCAGTAAAGAAGGGTCACTAAACAGCCAGACTGAAATTTTGAACTTGAAGTAATAATCCCATAAAACCTGGTGTCATCCTTAAACAAAATTTAGCAAATTGTAGCTTACTAAATTGCAATTGTTCATAATTTCATGTATTAAAAAAGTAGTGTTTTTTATCTTTCACCAAGGACTAAAAACATATCACTTTTGTATTTTTTTCAGGGACTAAAGAAATTTTTAGTGACAAAATCTAATAATAATAATAATAATAATAATAATAATAATAATAAAAGAAAACAACAATACAAGGACATACTTCCTCCTCGAGAAGGAATGTTACTGTTCGGTCTCCGTTCTTCAATGTATACTGGTCTTCCTGCTATCTCAACGGATCCTGCCTGAAAGCATAGACAACAAGACTTAGTGTTCACTCTGACCAAGTAGAAAGATAATAGTTTTGGGTCATGAATGGCGTATTACTACAAAATAATTCATGAGTACTACATTTCTCAAACTAAGTTAAAAGAAAATCAAAACCTTGACTGCATTATGAACGCCTGACATATCTTCAAATTCAACAAATGCATAACATACACCAACATCCTGGGTATAGATGAAAAGTTTAGATTCATAACTTGAAGTAGAACATAAATGTAATAACATATCAAGGAAAGAAGTTATTTGAAGACGGAATTATGAAGTGATATAAACCTTGCGACTTCTTATGACAACTCCATCAGGCCTGATTCTACCAAAATTCTTGAATTCCTCTTCCACTTCAGAAGGAGACACCGTAGGCAACAAGTTTCTCACATAAACGGATTTAATTTCATCTGAAAGCATTGCAAAGAAAAACAAGGTCAGTGGGGGAGAGCAATGGACACTGATAAATACATGTAATCCTTTAAAGCTTCTATTAAAATGGATTAGTTTATCATGTAATGGGCTGTGAAATGTGCTTACTGCCAGAAAGTAACTATAAATGGAGGAACTTGATAATAATCAATTCTAAAAACAAAAAGTACACACAGAACCTTCATATTCTGCTGCAGGAAGCTCTTCCACTGCATCTGTGTCAGACCTCTCAAATACATTTGCGGATGCCGTTGTTTGCTGATTACTGCTCGGTGGAGTATGATCCCATTCTGAAGGGGAAGCATTTTTATGAGAGGGTTGAGAAGCAGCAGATGGACTAGATTGTCCTTTAGCAACCCGTAACTTCCAACAACAGTCCATAACAGGGTCAGTTCCAATGTCATAACTAAATCCCAAAAGAAAATATTGTTTGGATATTAATATAACGGTTAATCAGAACATACAATGGAGGCATAAGTGTGCTTTTGTGGCTCCCCGGCAGGTTCTTCAGGAGAAGCAGGTAGGTGATCTTGCACAGCATTCCCTGAAGAATGAAGTGACCCATTTGACTCTTCACCGGCATTATCCTCCCTAATTTGTTCAGAATCAGGGCCCCGCTGCATTTGTTGCTCTGAAAATCCATAACTGTCAGCTACACCATTTTCTTTGACCTCATTTGCAGCAACAAACTCCCTAGCCTGGACATCTCCACCCAGCATATAGTTGGATACTGCAAAATCCATGACTCAATCAATTGAATGTTGAAACGGCGCGGTTTCGAGAGTCAGCAATAATGCATAATCAGCGACATTTGTTATTTACACAAAAACTGTGATTTTTTTTACAACCAATTTGAAAACACTGATGGTTTAGAAATGTTGTCAATCAGATAATAGTGGCTGATAGAAATTTACAACTGATAACAATGCAGCAAATACAGTTTGTGATGGGGATAACTACAAACATAATGAGACAACAGTCTAATATAGACTCTAAATATGCAAATGAACTAGAGATTCTGGGAATAGAAAGAAAACAGAAGAACAAATGACTAACAGTCTAATATAGACTCTAAACTAGTCAAGATTCATAATTTGCATAAAAGAATGTTCAAGTGTAAGACCCATGGAGAGATACAAGTCATAATGCGCTTTTGAGACTTTTATCAGGAAAAAAAGTACAAAAAAATTAATTCTTTATAATTAATTGCAGTAAGTGGTTATTTTTCAATTCAGGTAAATGCATACAAGCTGGCACAGAATTTACCTGGCTTATTAATTGTACTTGGAACATTCAGTTTTGAATCAAGATTGCTCTGAGCTAACAAGACTGCCTGGTGGTGATGGTGGTGAATAAGATCATCTTCAACGAAGTGAAAAATGTCATTTAGTACAAAAAAGCCTTTTTCTTGGGGCGCAAGGAAGAACGTCTGCATAAATTTCCTCCGCAGGTTGTCCTTAATTTGCACAGATCCAGAAACCATCACAATAACACCACCACTCCAAGACTCCAAAGAGTGTGCAGTCTTGATTTCAATTCCAGTATAGCTGAGTGACATAACCAGTGCATGGATTTGCTGCTCAGGGAAAAGTTTTTTCAGTTTGGAAGGAAGGAGGACATGTAATTTACATTCATTGAATGTGCATAACATAAACAATTGAAGCTAATGCAAACTTCCTTCATACAATTAAAGAACAAATAAAAAGACGAATTCGAGAATAGCGATATGAAGCAACTTCAACAAGTTGCACATTATTCTAAAGGTAAACTTTAAAACAATGTTCAACTAAATTTTCTATTTAAAGTATAAATGTAAAGATTCATTTCGTAGAAGACTATAATAATTGTAAACACTACATAACAATATTATATTTGCAAAGTACAGTAAATAAATCTTAAGTGCCTGCATTAGATTTCTAATCATGATTTATAACCATTTAAATGCCAAGAGTTGAATTTCTTAGACATTGGTTTCAAATTGTATGCCACCTCACCTGATACAATCAGAAAATTGAATTCTGCAGTGACATATACCGTTGAAGAAATATTTTAAATAAAATGAAAAGAACAAAACATAATGCTGTGAAAACCACATAAGACCACAACAATGGATCAAGATGGGTCTTTGCTACAGCCTCATGACTTGGTGCAAACAAAAACAATTTTAAGTAGCAATTCGCATTGCAATGATTGAAACAACCAGTCATAACTAAAAACCGTGTTCTTAAACTGAAGCAGACCATTACAGAACCACTTGAAACTCTTCAAATTCAAAGAACTAGTTAGACTTCTATAATCGCAGAGACAAAATTAACTCCGCAGCAATAAAATCAACTCCAAATCATCTTCTAACCATAAACTCTAAACATCATGGACACAAAAATTCTATCTTATCCACATCAATAACATTTATTTCTCACCCACATTCATTAAATTCGTAAAACCCGCTTTGTACAAATATTAAAACCAACAAGTGAAACACACAATCATAGATGCCATTAAAACTTCTCAAATCAAAATAAGAACATATAGGACTCCATATTCAGTAGCATTCAAAACCAATTCCAGCCACACACAAAAAACACAACCGTCTCAAAAAAAAAATTAGGGGTAACAGACAAAGGAGTCATACGAGCATTGCGGCGGCAGTTTCTCTAGCGTTTCCGTCGATACGAAGCATGGTACTAGCATCCGAGTAGAACTGATGAACGAACTCGGGTTGATTCTGAAGGACATGGTAGTACTGTCCGACGAAGTAAGTCCCAACCTGAACGGAGAAACGAATCAAGAGTTGATTATTAGGTTTTGATGATTGAAAGAGAAATTGAGGAAAGAGACGAAGAAAAAAGTGAACCTGAGCAGCGGTGAGAGGAATGGGAAAGGGTGTAGCCATTGGAGAAAATGGAAAAACCCTTCAAAACCCTAACGCCGTCAATTGAGATCCGAAATGGTGACGCTTTTGAGATCTAAGCATCCACACACGCGTACGTAGAGAGATCTGTGAGAGAGAGACTTTTGTCTGTATATCTCTCTGCGGATGAAGTTGCTGCTGCTATGAGTCTATTTTCTCCTATAAGATCCACTCAATTCCATTCAAATTAATTTAGTCAAAAAAATAAATAAATTCTATTCGAATTATTTAATTACCGATATTATTTTTTGATATTTTAATAAAAGATTAATTATTATAAAAAATTTATATATCATCATTGGTATTACTTTATTAATAATTAAAATAAAAGTTAAATTTTTCTTAACATTCAACGATTATAATTAATTGACGGTCTAAAATTATTTAATAGTGTCCAAGCATTTCAATTAAATCCTTTTAATAATTATTATTGTATAAAAATGTTAAATAATTTTATTTTTATAATTTGCTTTATATATTTATATAAAAAGTTTAAATAATTGTTTTATAATTTTTATAAAAAGGTTAAAAAATGATTTAATTGAATTTTTTTTGTTATTTATATTTATTAAGTTAAATAAATATAAATTATTGACCAAAAGTGTAGTTTTTGCCAACAATAGTTATTTACATCTATTTATATTTATAAACTAATACAAATAAAAAAAATAAAAAAAATACACAAACACTATAAATTTATTTACACCGTTAACCAATAACGATCATGCATTTCGTCAAAGTTATATTGAAAATTTTAAATTTATTATATAATATGGCAGAATCATATATTATTTTTGGATTTTACACTATCAAGTGCATAACAATTAAATTCATATAAGTAAACTATTAATATTTATGAAAATAAATAATTTTAAAAAAATTATTTGAAAATTAAAATTTTCTTTGATTTATAATTTTTTAATACTTTTTTAGCATCGAAAATTGTAAAATTCTTTATTTTCTTTAAATCCCTAGAATGATAGAAAATGAAGCAAACCGAGATTAAATATAATAGGTTAATATCTATGAAGTTGTAAGTTAATTTTTATTAATTTTTAAAATATGTTAAGAATTATTTTTTTAATACGTATTATTGATAATTTTATGTTATTAATAATTTATTATGAATTATAATTAAAATTTATTGAGTTATTTAATTTTCAAAAATTAAAAAGTTTAATAAGAAATTAGTTGTGATTTATATTTTTTTTTATTTTTGATTTCATCTTTTTTTAGTATGTATTTCTTTTTAAGATATTTAATTTTAAATTTTTAATGATATCTATTTATTTTTCGATAAAGTTTAAATTTTATTAGTAGTTATTATCAAATATAAAATTCAAAAGCTTTTCAAATTTATGTCTATATTATCAAATATTATTTATATAATTAACTTAACTTTTTTAAGAAAACGAAACATTGTAATTTATTAGTTGAAATATGAGAGTTATTTAGAAAATATTATCATTGTTTTTTATTACACTCATTAAGATCATTATTATAAAAAAATAATTTAGTAAAGACTAAGTACTTTTTTTGTCCTTTAAATTCCAATTTAATTTTATTTTTTATTTTCGATTTTATTAGGCTTTGTGATTGATGAAGTCTTTTGATTCACGAACGTTGGTTTTCTAGGTCGTTAACCTTCATTATTTCAAATCTGTGGAGAATGATCAGCTGGATCATTCTTCTATACTTTGGGATCGTGAGAGGTTACCATCGATTAATTAACATAAGGTTTGCGATTAAGACGAGATCCAACCTTACTTTCAATTTCATTTCCATTTTATTTTATTTTTATCGGTCAATGAGGTCTTTACATTCGTAAACGTCGACTTACCGAAGTCGATAACCTTCATTATTTCAAATCTGTAGAAAATGATCATTTGGATCATTTTTTTATACTTTGGGGTCATGATAGGCTACCTTCGATAATCGACACAAGTTTATGATTAAGACGAGATCCCACTCTTTTAGTCCATGCAACACGATTAAATCAGAGAATGATCCTCAATATCATTTCTCTATCTTATTTCTAGCACGGATATCGGTTTACACAACCTCCTATAGTCTGACTTTCGTCATAAGTCGAGCTACGATGGTTTAGCGTTACATTTCGACCCATTTCATTCAGTTAATCATTAACCATTGATTTTATTTTTTGTTCAATATAATTGCTTTACTTTCCGTCAATATACAATCTTGATTATATTATCTTGTTCATATGGCATTGCGTCAATTGGGTCAATTGGGTTATGCTATGGAAGACGAGCCTGAAGCGAAGAAAATCCAAAGCTTTTTCTTGCTCTCCAAAATAGAAGATCCTGGATTTGTCAGGAAAATTTCTAGGGCATGGACCAAGATCCATACAAAGGGAAGGAAATAGCTGAAAGCAAAAAACTGTGTGGCTAAGGAGCCATACAATAGATGGTTGCTAGCTAGAGTGGCTGAAAAGTTGTTATCGTTTCCTCCAGAATCTCCCATGCAAGAGAAACCTTATGTTCCCACTCATGTATCCATATAAGAATATGAGAAGCTAAAACTGGTAGTGGAAAGGTTGACTAAAGAAAACCAAAAGCTTCAAGCTAAAATCCACCAAGCAGGTGTGGAAAATGGCCAATTCAAAAGGAAAATGGAGGTTGAGCAGGACCAAGTTGTTGAAGGCAGCAAGAAATTGAAGCTAGAGACAGATATAAGGGTCATGTATCAAAATGGACTTGAAGGGGCTGATGCATCAGTAAAAACTCTCAGACAACGCTTGAAGGAAACCAAGGAATCTTGTGAGAGAGCGTGGCATTTTTGTGAGCTAGCTTCTGCTGAAAAGAAGAAGACTAGAGAAAAATTTGAGGCTGACATTGATGATCTCGAAGAGCAACTGAGAGGTGCCTTGACTCTAGTTGAAGGTGAACGACAACTCAAAGAAGAAGCATTAAGAGCTTCATATGTCACTCCTAGCATGTGGAACAATAAATGCTTAGAGTTAGAGACTACTCAAGAAACAACCACTATGTGGAAGGATTGCTTTGACGCTCTGAAAAGGTATAGTTCACAATGGCTCATGAAAGAAGCTCAACTCAACAAATTATTGGACACACATGTGGATTCCCTCTGATATTATCAGCCGATTCTAGACATGTATTGTGCTAAGTATAATGATCTAGTGGAGCATTGCAACCTCATGATTCGTGATATCCCATGGAGGTTGGAAAGTGCGATTCAAGACCTGGAAGGAAACAATGTCCCTCCTCCAGTCCATCACTTCATCTAGCTATGTGATCAGATGGTTGGCAGATTCATGTTTGAGTCGAGGAAGCTTGAAGAGCGTCTATGAAAGAAGACTTTTTAGTTGCTCTGTTCTTTCTTTTGTTGCTTAAACTTTTGTGTTCAGCCTATTGGAGCAATGGTTAAATCATTTGTATTGGATCTTCCTTTGAAATTAATGAAAAGTTGCTTTTTGGTCTCAAAATTGTGCATCCTTCTTGTTCATTCACAGTTCTATAGTACCGATGATAATCACAAGGTCTCGAAAGTCTCTTGAACATCATTCGAACATTGCATATACCTGCGCATCATTTTTGCATTCCCTGAAACCCGACCTCACACACTACTTGCCCTTTTTGCAGTAGAGCAAGTTGACTTTTTGACATGCATACAATACAAGGAGTAATCAAAGAAGAATCATGGATCAGCTAGAACAGAATCAAGCTGCTATGAGGGAGGAGATGCAAAACATGAAGACGCAGATCACCCAGCTCATGAAGGTGATTCAGAATATGGCCAGAAGCCAAGAAGAGTTGAGACAAGCGGCAAAAAGAAATGCTAATCATACCCCTGCTGGTGCAGTTCCAAATACAGATGGTGCAATCCCGATTCCTGCTGGCGCAGTTCCAACCCTTGTTAGTGCAACTCCTACCCCTTTTGGTGTAGTACCTATCCATGTTGGCACAGTTCATCCACCAGTTGGTGTAGTCCATCCTCCTGGCGATACGCTTCCACCTCCAGTCCATTACGACGATCATGAGGATTTCTACGAGGATTTGACGGTGGATGCGTGTGGGCCACAAAACACTGAGTTGGAAAAGAAATTCAATGCTCTACAAGAGACGGTTAGAGCGGTGCAAGGTCCTGGTGTTTTAGGATTGGACGCTGCGAAAATATGCCTTGTGCCAGGAGTTAAAATACCTCTAAAGTTCACTATTTCGACTTTCGAGAAGTACAAAGGTAATAGTTGTCCCAAGACCCACATAAGGTCTTATTACAGGAAAATAGCCGCTTACTCAGACGATGAGAAGCTCCTAATCCATTTCTTCCAAGATAGTCTGATTGGGGCTTCTCTGAAGTGGTACATGCAGCTTGAATGTTCCCATGTTAAAAGCTGGAAAGAGTTGACAGATGCTTTTGTAAAGAATTATCAATACAACACTGATATGGATCCAAATCGTACGCAACTACAAAGTCTGACCCAAAAGCCTAACGAGTCTTTCAAAAACTTCGAACAAAGGTGGAGAGGACTAGCTGCAAGAGTGCAACCCCCATTGCTAGGGAGAGAGTTGATCGATATCTTCACGGGGACTCTGTAAGGTCCAATTCTTGAATGTCTAGCGTATACAAATTCCACGGTGTTCTCTGAACTTGTCATGGCTAGAGAAAGATTAGAGAGCTTGATGAAAGCTGGAAAGATTCAAAATGCTAGTGAATCCTCGAGCGGGGCCAAAAAGCCCTATCAAGGATTCATTAAGAAGAAGGGAGGAGAAGCTAGTGTCGTTTCCACAGAAAGAGGAAATACTCATTAGGGTTATCATCACATTGTTGTTGTTACTCCGCAACAATCACTTTCTATTCCCGCTAGCCAGCCTGTGGCTCAACAACAACCATACCAATCGCGACCAAACCAATATCAGGGCCAACAAAGACAAAGAAGGCCATAGAGAAGATTTGATCCGATCCCATCGACGTATGCTAGACTACTTCCGTACCTGTTG